GACATTTATTTCAAACACATTCATAATTTTCATATCACTCATTAAGGGTTTAGCGTGTTCACGCCTATCCTTATAGTAAATGATTCTGCAAGCATGTTTTTGCAAACTATACAGTTTTTTAAGCTTTGATGCTTGAGTGCTTGTCCATGAAATGTTTGCATAGCTGATGAAGCTATGTATTAGCCCAAAGTAGATTAATTTCAGACTTTGTGTATTGACGTAAGAGCGAACTCGATACATCAAACCTATGATTTTAGTGATTTTTGACTGGATGTATATTATATGAGGAACCCAGGATAAATTTTCATCAACAATGATTCCTAAGAATTTTATATTGGATTGCTTTTTAATTAGTTTATCATTTAGGAATAGTTTAGGCAATTTGAGAGGAAGATTTTCCTCTTGTATTTTTTTATGGAATAGTATATAATTTGTTTTCTCAGCATTAAGCGAGAGTTTGTTAGCTTTAAACCAGTTGTTTACTTTAAATAGTTCTATATTCATGTCAGCATATAATGTTTTGATATCATTGTTGGTAAGAAATAGATTCGTGTCATCTGCAAACAAGACTGAATTCAGTTATATATGTAAGAAAAAGGAGTGGACCAAGAATTGATCCCTGCGGGACTCCACACAAAACATTTAATACTTCAGAGTGGACATTATGTACATATTGTTTTCTGTAGGTAAGATAACTTTTAATCCAATAATAGGTTTTTTTAACTATTCCATAATGTCTTATTTTATCTAAGAGAATGCAATGATCCACTGTATCAAATGCTTTTGATAAATCAAGAAATACTCCTAAAGTAAGCTTATTATTTTCAAAACCATTAGTTATTTGATTTACTATTTCAATAATTGCAGGCTCAGTTGAAAGATTTTTTTAAAAGCCAAACTGATTTGGGTAAAAAAAATGTTTTTAATAAAGTAATCATAGATTCTATTATAAACTACACGTTCGAAGAGTTTTGAAAATACAGAAAGTATTGATATGGGTCTGTAGTTTGTAATGTCAGAATGATTCTAAAAATGATTCTAAAAAAACTTGGCATATTATTAAGGAGGTAATTGGAAAAAAAAGCTTATACAGAAATTTACTTCCTCTAAATCTTAAATTTAATAACAAACAAATTGTAAATAAATCCTTAATCGCTGAAACACTTAACCAGTTTTTTGTAAATATAGGTCCTACTTTATCATCTAATATAGCAACTACTCAATCACACTTTAGTTCGTACTTAACCTCAACCAACCTTAATGTTATGTCTAATTATAAAATTACAGAAAAAGAATTACTAGACGCAGTCTCTTTATTAAAACCCAATAAAAGTTTAGGATTTGATGATATAAGTAGTAATGTCATTATCAAATCAATAAAACAAATTACAATTCCATTACTACATATTTTTAATTTATCTCTAAAACAAGGCGTTTTTCCAGATAACCTAAAAATTGCAAAAGTAATTCCAGTGTTAAAATCAGGTGATCCTTCCGATGTTACGAATTATAGACCAATCTCAATTCTTTCTTGTTTTTTTAAAATATTAGAGCGGGTTATGTATAATAGACTATATTCCTTTTTAAATGTTAATAATATTCTTTATCATAAACAGTTTGGATTTAAATCTGGTCATTCAACTGATCATGCAATCACTCACCTTGTTCATGATATATTTAAAGGGTTTGATGAAGACAAGTATACCCTAGGTGTATTTATCGATTTAAGTAAAGCTTTTGACACTGTCAATCATCAAATCCTTCTATCCAAACTGAAAAGTTATGGTATAATAATTACTAATTTGTCCTGGTTTAATAGTTACTTGACTAATAGAAAGCAGTTTATTTCATATGATAGCGAAAAAACGGAATATAAGTCAATCACCTGTGGTGTTCCTCAAGGATCAATTTTAGGACCACTTTTATTTCTCGTTTATATTAATGACTTATATAAATTTTCAACATTTTAAACTTAATTTTGTTTGCAGATGATACAAACTTGTTTTATTCTAGTAAAGATATCAGTAAATTATTTCAAACAGTAAACAAAGAACTTGAAAAATTAACCCAATGGTTCAAATCAAACAAACTATCTTTGAACATCAATAAATCCAAATACACTTTGTTCCATCGTCTTCATAATAAACAAGATATTCCATTAAAACTTCCTGATCTTTTTATTGATAACGCATTATTAAAAAGAGAGCAATCAATAAAGTTTTTAGGTGTGGTTCTGGATGAAAATTTAACCTGGAGGGACCACATAGGTCTAATTGAAAATAAAATATCAAAAAATATAGGTGTTTTGTATAAAGCCAAGCAGTTTTTAAACCTATCTTGTTTAAAAAACTTATATTTTTCTTTAATTCATTGCTACTTAAATTATGCAAACGTTGCTTGGTGCAGCACAAACGCAACAAAAGTAAAAAAACTGTTTAGTAAACAAAAACAGGCTATAAGGATAATTACAAACGTAGACCGTTTCTCTCACACTAAAACATTATTTAATAAACTTAATATTCTAAATGTATATAAACTAAACCTTTACCATATTCTTATCTTCATGTTTAAACTTGATAAAAAAATATCACCAATGTTACTTAATTCACTTTTTGAAAAAATAAACCACATATACCCTACCAGATTTTCAAAAAACAATTACATTCAATCCAAAACACATTATTCAGCAACCAAATTCTCAATTGCAAATCGAGGTCCTAAGCTGTGGAATACAATATTAAATAATGAGCTGAAATCTAATTATTCTTTAAACCAGTTTAAAACAAAACTTAAGCAATTACTGATGATACATGAAAATGAATTAAAGTTCTTCTAAAAAGCTTTTTAAACTAGCAAACAAAAACAAAAATTAACCTACTAATTACTCTTTAATATTATATTTAATATTCTAAACAATAGTCTGCTATTGTAAATATATTTCTTATCTTATAAGTTTTGAATTTACAAACGATTTTTTAAGTTTTATTATTTGAAATACTAATTACTAAAAATATTGTAAAATTTTATAATTTCAATTTTTATTAAAAAAAGTTATTGTAAATTCTTTTTGTAATATTAATACTTATATATCATCTTATTTTACTAATCAGTTCTTAAATATAAATACTCTTTGAATTACTAAATATTTTAAACGTTATATATTTTATTTTTTACATTTTGTTAAAATATTTTATTTGATGAATATGCACTTTTTTGGGGGGGGCTTAATGATAAGATGAATTTTGTCTTCTTCAAGCCCCAGTCATGTAAATATTTGTTTTTATAAATTACGAGGGCAAATTATTTTCAATCGGCAAATACAATACTAAAAAAAAAAAAAAAAAAAGAATGATCATTACATTTGTATAAAGGAGTTACTTTTGCTAAGTTAAGTACATCCGGAAAAATCCCAGAATTTATCGAGAGTTTTAGTATATGTATCAGAGGTCGATTAAGACTGTGTTTGTTTGCAATAATTATATCACTAGGTATCTCATCAAATCCTGGTGCTTTTTTTTTTTTTAAAGAGGCAAAAGCTGCCTCAAATTCGTCATAGCTTAATTTGTAATCATGCTTTATAACGTTATTCGTGGGTTTAAGATTTTAAAAGATTCAGGTTTTGGTATTATTTTTTTGACAAGGTTCGGACCAATACTAATAAAATATTTATTAAATTCATCCGAGATGAGTTTTTGACAAAATATATCGTTGTTATCAATAACAATTCGTTTAGGTAGTGAAGGTGAATTTAGTTTTTCTCTTCCCATTATTGCATTAAGGATGGACCATGTTTTTTTGCTATCAAATTTACATTTGTTAATTTGATTACTGTAATATTTTTTTTTGGCATTTTTAATGAGATCTTGATAAAAATATTTATAACTTTTGTAATTTTTTTCATTATTATTGTTTTTATTTTTCAGAAACTTATTGTAAAGTTTTTGCTTTTTTTTTTGAGCACTTTAATAATGATTTATCCTTCCACGGATTAGCCAGAGCTTTTGACTTAATCTTTATAATTTCTTGCGGACAGGTTTCGTTAAAATACTCCAAAAATGTACTTAAAAAAGCATTGTAAGCTTCATTAGTATCTTGACATTTATATACGTCGTTCCAAGTTTCTTGTTTTAGCCTACTTGTTAACTTATCAGTGTTACTCATTTTTAAATTTCGTTTTTTCAAATGTATGGTTTTAGATTGACAGTCAGACTTAGATTTATAGTTTTTTATTTTTAAGAATATCGGGAAATGATCGCTTATATCTGCCTTAAATATACCGGTTTCGAATGTCGTTTCTAAATAATTGTTAATTAAAATATTGTCTATTGCTGTTGCCGAAATTTTTGTTACACGCCTTGGTTTATTAATAGTTGACAAGACATTAAACTTAAAAAGCATATCAAAAAAAGATTTTATTTTTGGAAATTTAGTGTTAGATAAAACATCAAGATTTATGTCAACAGTAATATATAATGTTTTATTTTCTTTATTTATTTTCTTAATTGAATTTTTGATAAAAGTATCAAAGTTTTTTATTTTTCCACTCGGTGGACGATAAACACATCCAATTAAAATATTTCGGTATTTTTATTAATAATTTCAAAGAAGAGACTTTCATAATAGAAGATTTCGTAATTAGGCGGCTATTATAAATCACGTGATACAATATTTTTTTCGGGAAGGCAAAAATGTAAAGAAACCAATAATAAACATGTAAACAAATAAGAAAAAAGGGGGACCTGTACATGGCGCACCCTAAACTCGATGAAGTTCGTTAATTCTCGAAACGAATATTCTCGGTGTTCGCTTTTGGTATTTTACAGAATAGGCGCTAAAATATTACGTTAATTCGCGCCATAATGGTAACGTCGAAAATAAAAAAACAAAAACATGTCGTAAATGCATTTTAATAAAAATTTAACATTAAAAAAAAAAAATTCAATTTTACAAATTATCAACATGTATACATTAAATATTAGATTAAGATTTCTTTTTGTAGCTCATCTTTTTTTAATCGATCTTCTAAAGGTATCTTCTCGTAGCTTATCTTCTTTGCATATCTTTTTGAGGCTTATCTTCTTTTAGTTTTTGCAACGTATATTTTGTGTTGTACATAAAAAAAAACATTATAAATATTATGATACATTTTTAATGTAAATATTATATTATAATACTTATTTTACATTACAGAGGATACCTATCATTAATATGTTTTAAGAATAAAGAGAAATTTTCCTAAACATTTTTCTTATAAAAATCATAATATGCTCTGTATAAAGCTTCATCTGCAGCTTCATGCAGCGGTTACAGGAACCTCCAGGATCCATAAAAACATTAATTGAAGTATCATACTTACACTTAAAGATGTAGAGCTTTCAAAAAATCCTGCTCGAATTGACTTCGTCTTTTTGCAAGTGTTACATCGCCAAATATGTTTTTCCTTAAATAAAGTATTTTAAAGATACAAGGGATAATCTGTTTTGTGTAAATAATAATAAAAATGTTAAGTGTTCATACTTGACAACGTTCATAATTTTGCAAAAGCATCCTTTGACCACATAGACAAAGTTTTTGAAGTGGCATTAGCCTTTTTTGTTGCAAAAAATCAACCAATTTTTCTTCTTTGATACTTTCAATGAACTCAGCTAAAGGTGTTATCATACTTATTTTAAAGGCGGTAAAAATTTGGCTTTTGAAGCGCGAATTAAAACTTTTGTGCTAAATTTTCATTCGTTAATATTAGCCAATCATTAAACGGCAAAATTATTGTTTCGAACTTTACCGAGTTCGTTTACGAACTTCACCGAGTTTTGGGTGCGCCGAGTACAGGTCCGCCAGAAAAAATACATCAGATGTATTATTTTTAAAATGATATACATTTACAAAAATAAATACAAATAAAGTGCAAGTCCAAAAAAAATTAGTAAAGAATATTTTATTAATACCTTTACTTCAATAAAATAGAAAAAGATTATATATATATATATATATATATATATATATATATATATATATATATATATATATATATATATATATATATATATATATATATATATATATATATATATATATATAATATATATACGTCTTTGATTGTTTTGTTTAAAATTTTAAAAGGACATTTAACATCTAAACACAATCAACATATGGATATGGCAAATGTCATATTTGCATACGATAAATCCATCTGGGGAACAAGCACCGTAAGGCATATCATACAAAATCAAGAGATCAAATCATGAGCATCTTGCTCATGATTCCCAATTTGATAGAAGCAGTAAGAAATTTTCTTTATGAGGGTATAAAATCTCAGCATCAAGAGGAGTTTCAGCTTCTTAGAACTTGTATTTCTAGAAAGAATATTAAAACTGATGTTTAGATGCAGTTATCTTCTCTTTTTTCATTTGAAACCAGGTATTTCTTTTAGCTTGATCGCTTGTGTCATACTCCACGTTTTTAATTGTTTCGTGTGTTAAAACCATTTTTTTAAAAAATATTTTGCCTAATGTTGACTTATCAGGGTTAGGGTGGTCTAAAAGTATTTCAAATGATAGCTCTTCAAGATCAGGATTACTTACAATATTTTCATCAGATTATTTAATTTTTGATTTAAATACTACAGCAGAAGCCTTGGATATATGAATATTGTTTAAAAAAGTTTTAAACAAATGTTCATGAAATTCACAATGACTTTCGATTTTGAATTAAATTCTTGCAATGCTTTCATTCTTTTGTTTTCCTTATTATTATCATTTTTTTCATTATTCGATAATTTTTTTCGAACAACTAGGTCAGTTATTAAACACGATTTTATATCTTTTCTAGAAGACTTTCAGACACACACTTGTTCTGTCATGGCTTACTTAAATTACACGGCCTGATTTGTTGCATTTTCCGTAAAAAATTAAGAGGCCAGTTTTTTATAAAAACTTAATTTTTGTTATGGTTAAGAGTCTTGTTGCACCATAATTGTTTTATTTATATTTTATTAAAATGGTTTAATAATAGTTAGATTTTCTTTGAGTACTTACATTAATTTGTTGCTAGATTTTCTGTTAACTGATTGCCTGCTTCAGTTTATTCCAACAACACAGAATACTGAAATAGGCTTTCAGATAACTATATCAACCCATACCAACATGCTGCTAAAAATAATCTCTCATAGAGATTATTTTTAGCAGCATGTTGGTATGGGTTCTAGCTCCAAAGGATCTTTTTGTAAATTAAGTATAAACAAATGTAAAGCCTTCTTCAAGGAAATCATGCATAAGAAATACTATTGCGTGTAGTGTTGTAATTAGAGCACAAGAAGTTTGTTTGGTTAATGTCAGGTATTTATTAAATTTTATTTTGATCAAATTTCAGTACAATTTGCAATTTCTCTATAAAGTGTGGGTTTGTTATCACCTTTCAAAGCAGCATTGCTGAGTTTGATTAGATGAATTAGGTTTCTGCTTTGAATTAAGTATGATAAATAACTTAAATGATAGTTGTGCTGCGTTATTTCTTTCATAAAAATAACTCTAACTTAGCAGTTGTAGCTGCAGTTGTTTTGTCAAATATTGTCGATGTTGACAACTTGTTTTTTGTTACCAAAATATGTGATTTGATAATTAATTTTTCTTGCTTTTTCTTGCTTGTTTAATAAGTGATCTTTTAATAAACTTTAAGAAATATATTCCCTACAATGTAATCAGCAGCAACTTTAACAAGAAGAAAAAAACAAAAACCGAGTTTATCAAATAACAAGTATATTTTAAACACTCCATTTCTAAACTAAATGATAAATTAATAATTTTCCATCTCCAATATATGCTTTATGAATCTATAAAAATGCATTAACATTTGTAAAATGGTTATCGGTAACAATAGTTCTTATCTTAAATTCAGATTGGTGCATTGAGGTAATACACTCATCAATTTCTTTTTTCAAACATAAACCTGTTATGTAAACTTTAGGTTATGATTTCAAAACATAAGAATAAATTTTTGAAGCCTACAATCATAATAACAAAAACAAATTTTTTATAAAGATTGTTTTCTCAATCTTCATCAAAATGTTTACCACTTTGGGCTGCTTTTTGGAAGTGCACCTTACCCACAAGAAGCAAATAATCTCTTAATATCAAATTTTTGTCAATGACTTTTCTAATATATTATAGTTTTTCAATTTGTATTTTTTACCACTGCGAAACCATTTAAATAAAGAAGTATGATAACCATTTATTTGGCAATGAAAAAAATTAGAATTTTATTAACAGCTATTGACTCCAAAACAGTTAGTATGCCTGATATTTCTTGGCTACTGTAAATAAATAGCCTGATTTGTTACATTTTAATTGCTGTATGTTTGAGACATGCAGCATAATAAAGTATTGACAATACAAAACCTTGTTTTGCAGTGTAAATAATTTAAAGAAAAGTTTATATTTTCTACTTAATAATTGCAATTATAATAAATACAAAATTACAAACCTTTAAAATTATTTCCAATAGAGAGTTGTGAATAGTTTAAGCAATATGTAAGATTATTTTTAGTAGCATGTTAATATGTGTTGATATAGCTATCTGAAAGCCTATTTCAGTATTCTTTGTTATTGGAATAAACTGAAGCAGGCAATCAGTTAACAGAAAATCTAGCACAAAATAATTTAAGTAATCAAAGAAAATCTAACTAATAATAAACCATTTTAATAAAATAAAACAATTATAGTGCGAACAAGACTCTTAACCATAACAAAAATTAAGTTTTTATACTTAAGCCGTAAAAAAAACTGGCCTCTTAATTTTTTACGGAAAATGCAACAAATCAAGCCGTGTAATTTAAGTAGGCCAGGGTTCTGTGCATGTTGGATTACGCCAACCTTTGTTATTAGCATATTCCATTTTATAAAGGGTGCCAATGACATGATTTTAAACTTCAAAAGCTCCATCCATACACGAACACCAAGCAGAAAGAATATCATTATTATAAAAGGCAATCCAAAGCTTTCTTTTTTCGTGAATTTTTTGCTAACCACACAATTCAGAATATGCAAATAAAACATTTTTTTAAAACTGAAGTGCATTATAGGGACTACAAAACCACTATCGAAAAAGGAAAATGCTTCTTGGTCCTTACACTTAAATATATTCTGAATCAAAAAAATTTTTATTAAGAATATATGAAAAAATATTTCCCATTGTTATACTAGGCCACTCAGATAAGTCTTTTCTATTTTTCACTGGAACAGAGTTTGGGTCAATTAGATTAAAAGCTTTTAGCTTGTCCGATTAGTATTGATTAAGTTTTCTTTGCTGTTCTTCTGCTCTCTTTATAACATCTATATTTAATTTCATTGCAGTAAATGCTCTAGCAACAAGCTTAACTCTGCGTCTAGTAGTACTTAGCCCACGAACAGTTAAAAAACTAACAAGCTGTTTGGCAGATAAATTAAAAAAATCTTCTCATTTTTTAATTGGGATGTTAAAATACAATTTTCAATGATGTATTTCCAGATAAACTACTTTTAGATATTAAACAAACAATAAAAAGATAAAACGTATTGCCAAATTTGTTTATAATTTTGCCCTCCCGAGAAAAACATTAGGCCACGTGATTCATAATTGCCGCTCAATTACGAAAAGGTCTATTATTTGAAAAGCATAATATGTTTTTTATTTTAAAAATATACTTTTCTAAAACATAAATTCCTAATCCTCCTCCTTTTTTCCCACTTTCTCGTGATTGACTTATTAGTTTGTAAAATGGTAAGATATAATTAGAGTTTGATTCAAAGAGCTTTCTGTATCATGCCATGTCTCTGAAAGAGATATGACATCGAACGTGTAGTTTAAAATATTTAAAAATTCTTTAAGTTTATCAAAATTTTGCTGCATGCTTCTAATATTTATATGCAATACAGAAAATGAGCAATCATCTTTTAATACTTTAAAATCAAAAGGATCAATATACGGTGTATTAATTAAGTTCATTTGAGTTTCTTGAAAAATATTTCTGTTTTCTTGAGATTTATAAAGTTGTCCTCAAAAAGATCTAAATTTAAATTGTTAAAATATAGTTTTTGTGAAAAAGACGTCTTTTAATATTTTTTTATTTTTAATACATAGTTTAAAAATACTTAAAATAATATTAAAAAAAAAAAAAAAAAACTATACGCAAAATGCTTACTCGTTTACGCTTGTCGAATTACATCTGTGTTGCGGGTGCTTCCTCGAAATTCATGCACAATAAGGCCACTTTGAATTGCAAAGTTGTTTCCCGTCCTAAAAAAAACCGGTAAAGTATGCGGGCGGGCGGCAAAATTCCATTATCCATTATTTTATTATTTATTTTTTTTTACATTTTTTTTTTCATAGATATGTAAACAGTTAGGTTCTAGAGTTATTTTTCCGACCAGTGCACAATGGGCTGGATATTAGACATATGCTAGACAAAATTATTCTGCTCTTGTTTTTCATTACTAAAACCTTTTAAATGTCCAAACAAGCACTTTGTATTAAGATATCTTTAATTTTATTATAAACTTTCGTTGAATATTTGCTAATACTAAAAATTATTAACCAAACTTTAAAATCATGTATTTATTATGATGTAGATACCTAAAAAATATATAGCCAAGAAGGTTTTTAAAATGAACATAACTAACTCATGTCATTTATACTTATAGAGGTCAGGATTGCGGCAGATTGATTTTTAGGGATAAGCTTCAGCCTAAAGCTAATCAGTTTATAAGAGAGAAAATATATATATTTAAATGATTTAAATATTCATCTTTAATTTAAAGATTAATGTTTAAATCATTTAAAGATGTTTAAAGAGATTCGTAAAAC